ATGGGGGGGGGGGGGTTATTAGGTTAATTTTTGTTATGTGTAGTTCAATGATGTGTAGAATAGCTACTTAGTAACTGCTTTGGTACAAGTACTGATTTTTAATTTTAAAAAATTTTAAACTACTGTTTTAAATACAGGACCAAGGAAAAACAATTTTTGATGCCCCCCAAAGAAACTATACTAACTTTTGCTGAGGTCCAAGGGATGCAGGAAGCTCTGCTTGGTACCACTGCCATGAACAATGTTACTATCTGGTAAGCTTTCCCTCTGGGCCCTCAGTTTCCTCGTCTGTATGTGAGGACACGCCTCTACTTTTACAGGATTGCGACTATTAGGTAAGAGGATATATACACGTGTGATGGTGATTATTTTATCTTTTACTGTCAGATGCTATATGCTTGCAAAAAAGATCAGTCTGAGTAGATTATTTTAGTATAAATGGAATTTTATTGTCAGAAATGCATAGTTGTTTCCGTTTCTGCTTAATGGCTGAGGAGCATCCATCAGATGAACCTCCCTGTTTCTAATAACCACAAGGTGTAGACAAAATATAAAAAAGTAACTCTCTGAAGATACCAGAGAGCAAGAAAAAGAAGAAAGATAACGGAGGGGTTTCTGCATCTAGAAGAAGGAAATGGAGCCAGGCATGGTGGCGCACACCTATGATCCCAGCTATGTGGTCTGGAGGTTGAGGCAGAAAGATTGTAAATTCAAGGCCACCCTGGGCAATTTAGTGAGACCCTATTTCAAAAATAAAAAAGAGCTGGGGACATAACGCATTGGTAGAGTACTTGCTTACGATACACAAGGCTCTGCGTTCAATTCACAGTGTTCCTGTCCCCTCCGCGTCCCCTCCGCCTGTGTGTGTCCATCCCCGTTCCCCCCACCCCGCTCCAAAAAGAGGAAGAGGACAAAATGGAACTGAGCAAATTTCTCATTCTTATGGCTTTCAGCCAGGGGAAGGCCTCAGTCTGATCACAGGATGACTAAAGGGCTAACAAAAACCCTATCCTGCTGGATTAAAGGACCAAAGGACAGAGTTCAGCATGGCCACAGCAGCTAGAAAGTGAGAGAGAAAAGTCCCAAAAGGAGAAACCCAAATAAAGAACCCTAAAACCATTCCCTAAATATCTGGCTGAGCCCTTAGACGGCATCACACTGGGCAGACTTCACGCAGCCAAAGTGAAGCTGAAAGAACTGAACTGGAATTTTAGCATTTGAAGTTTTAATTCATTGAAGTTAATGGTTTACTAGAACAAATAAATAAAATTGATATTCTTCAGAGAAACCTAGCAGAATATAATTTTTACAATATATTGTATCTAAGATTCAATCTAAAATTAGTATGTATACACACATATTATAGGAACCAGATTAATAAACAAATTTGTGATAGGAACACCAAAGTTGGCACCTCTTTTCTGTCTACAAGGGAGATCTCTATCCCTGTCTCAAAATAAAAAATAGGCCAGGCATTATGATGCATGCCTGTAATCCCAACACTCTGGAAGGCTGAGGCAGGAGGATCTCAAGTTTGAGTCCAGCTTGGAGAAGTTAGCAACTTAGAACCTGTCTCCAAAAGAAAAGGAGGAGGGGGATCTCAGGGTGTGGATCAGTGAAGGCCCTGGGCTCAATCTTGTTACCACAAATAAAGAGAGAAATAATGGAAAACCTTTTCTCAAGGAATTTGGAAACATTTATCACTGGGAGCATAACAGATTCATTCTAAGGCTAAGCTGTTAAATTAAACTCTTAACCTATAGCTCTACTGGTAGCTAATCTGTTATTAGCAAAGCTGAAGTACTTTTCCCTTCATTCTTAGCTTAGTCATCCCCTAAAGGATGCTGTGATAAACGAGTATTCTGTGAAAGCCAGTTTGCTGGGAGAATGTGATCAGCCTTTTTTTTTTTTGTCTAAGGAATTTAAAAACTGGGCAACTCCTGAAAAAGATACGCATTGATGATTCTTACCAAGCTACAGTGTGTCACAAAGCCTACTCTGAAATGGTGAGCGATGATGTGAAGCCACTTTGTGTTCACTTGGTGTGATTTTTGGACTCCCTGGTGAGAACACTGACTGTAGTAATTAGCAAACCTTCCTTGTTGCTTATTTTTTCAAGTGTATAGATTAGAATAAGTTATTGTTTATCAAATTTTGGGCTGTAAATAAATGTTTTGCTAAGAAAAATAATATATGGATTGATCATGAGGCAGCTTTCCTAAAACATGCTGTTCAGCACTTCTTTTTTGAAAATGTCCATAGTTTAAGGAATATTCAGCCAGATTTGTAAAAACAAAAAAGAAAGACTTCAAGTCCAAAGCGTAAATTCTCAATAAGGACACAGAAATGTTGTCTGACTAAATAAAGATATAAGCCTACCATTAAAAAAAAAAATGGGGGCCGAGTGACTGAAAGGCGTTTAAACACATACTGGCAGCTATGAGTCTGTGCTAAGAAGTACGCCTTTTACCCGGCTTGATTCCCAGCCACATTGCTGTCAGTGGTTTATGATGTGAATGATGCTCTGAAGGTGATTAAACAGTCCCAGACCTGGTTTCTTTTAGGACAGTGTTCTCAGCTAAGCACGGTGTTAATAGACCCAGTCTGCCTTCCAGTTTTGACATCTGAGCTGGTTAAAGGTAGTTGTCCAGGAGTGAAGGCTAGCTACATGAGTGTCCAAATCTGGTTTTGGGGTTTTTTCCTTCTTTGTCTCTTGAGTGTCCAAATTGGAAGCGGTGAGCAGAGACCCTAGTAACAGCTCCTGCTGAGTAGACTGACTTGCCTGATATCAGTGTTCCCCTGAGAGCCTCAGCACTCAGAGATTCTGAATACAAGGCTGCATCTTTCCTAGCCTAGGGGGAGCTGTGGAATTAAACACAAAAGTTGTATGATTTTAGGAAATCTGTCTCATAATCTTTTTTTTTTTTTGGTATGGGGATCGAACTTGGGTCCTTGCACTTGCGCAGCAGGCGGCAGAACCACTGAGCTAAATCCCCGGCCCCTCAAAAAATATTTTTAATGTAGTTCTGGAGGTTGAACCAGGGCCTTGGGGCTGACTATATCCCCAGTCCTTTCTTAAATTTTTAAAAAAATTTTGAAACAGTCTTTTGCCCATGCTGTGCTCAAACTTTTACTCTTCCTGCCTCAGCCTCCTAGAGTGCTGGGATTACAGACCTCCATGCCCACCCCTCACAGTTTGGGGTGTAGTTGTTTTCATCCTTTAAATAAAAAGGAATTGAATTTGTAGAATTTAGTTAATGTGAATTTAGTTTTATCTTTTGTATCACGATATTAATATTTATTTGATATTAAAACATTCAACAGAAATGTTTAGATAGTAACAGTCCCCCACTTAACCTTCAGAAATAGTTTCTTGTTGCTGCTCTTTATCTACTCTGCAGTGCTGGGGTTGAACCAGGGCCTTGCATACGCTAAGTAACACAGGTGCCCTGCAGCTGAGTCTCATCCCCACACAGTAGTGCCTTCCTGCACTGTTGCTTCCCAGAGACTGGCATACTCTCTCTGTAAAGGACAGGTAGGAGATATTTTCTGGTCCACTGAAGATACATTCTCTGCTGTGAATAATGTGCTCTTCCGTCACGGCACAAAATCACCCTTAGACAATATGTAAATAAATGGATGTGGCTGCATTCTAATTCAGTTTATGGACAGTAGAATTTGAATTTCATATCATTTTCATGTCACAAAATAGGTTTTTGTGTTTGTTTCACATTGCTGGGGATCTACAAAGTAGTATTCATTTTCTGATTTTCTTTTTCCAACCATTTCAAATGTGAAAAACATTCTTAGCTCATGGGCCATACAAAAATAAATGTTAGGCCGGAATTGCCCTTTGGACTGTAGTTTTTCAATCCTTTATTAAATGAATGTATGGCATTTAACATTTTAAAATTCTCAGTTATTTTCTAAATACAAAATTAATTCATTTTCACCAAGTGCAATGGTACATACTTATAATCCCAGCTATTCTGAAGGCCGAGGCGGGAGAATCATGTTTGATGCTAGTGTGAGCTACATAATGAGACCCTGTCTAAAAACTAGGTGAGAGATGTTAAGTGTATGTGCAAGGCTCTGAGTTCAATCCCCATCATCATGGAAAGAAAAAAGTAATTTATTTTTATTTAAAAATTTAGTAGTTCTACAAATCTATAAATTAGAAAGTGAAGCCCAGCATGGTTTCACATGCCTCTAATCTCAGCTGTGGCAGGAGGATTGCTGTGAGTTCAAGGCCAGCCTCGGTTCTGTAGTGAGTTTAAGGCAACTTGAACTGCATAGCAAGACCCTGTCTAAAAAAAAAATTAGAAAGGGCCGGGGATTTAGCTCAGTGGTGCCACTGCCTGCCTTGGAAGTGCAAGGTCCCGAGTTCGATCCCCAGTACCAAAAAAAAAAATTAGAAAGTGAATGCTACTAATTCTAAAAAGGATCTGTAGTTTAATTTAATTATTCCCAAAGAAAACTGCTTTCAGTGTATGTCTATATACATACGTATTCATACACGTACACAATTCATACAAGTACATATGTTACTATAACCTATGCTAACACTGGGAGGGATCTTTGACACATTGTACCATAGAAACCAAACCATAGTTGATGGTATCTTTTTTTTGTCACTCTTAGTAGAAAGAAGTGTAGGTTTTAAATAGGGCATTGTTGGCTAGCCTAAGAATCCAGTCTCCATTTACAAGATTGTTTTTAATGGGAAAATACGTTCTGAATTTTCAAAAACCAACTTAAAAATGACCATTCTAACTTGAGGACTGCCCGCGCGTTTATATGACCTCTTTGCCTGTGCCGACATTTCCCCAATGGATGTCATGAGGCGCAGTATGTGCAGTGGGAACTGATGGGTCAGCCCGGCTGTGCTGTGTGAGACTGGCTGGAAACAAAGCCCGAGATGGAGGAACTGGGAGTCCAGCCTGGTGATAGCTCAGTAGTTCCTGAAAAGGAAATTGGAGCCCATGAGTAAATCTTGGGTATTGAGTAGATTGATCGTTCCTGTTTTTCCTTGGTTTTATCTCTGTGAAACATAATTTTGATGGTCTATTTGGTTATCTGTCTCCTAAATTAGGGGCTCCTGTTTGTTGTCCTGAGTCATCCTTGCGCCAAAGAGACTGAGTCCTCGGGCAGCCCTGTGTTTCAGCTGATTGTGATGAACCCTAAAACGACCCTGAACATGGGTGTGATGCTGTACTGTCTTCCACCAGGGCAGGCTGGAAGGCAAGTGTGTGTGACTGCCATCGATCAGTGGGTGTGGCATGTTGGAAGGCACTGTGCAAATACATAAACTAGGTATTTTGTGTCATTCTGATAAATGGAAAGCATGAAAAATAGAGATCCTAATAGGAATGTTAAGAAGTAGGGTGATGTTTCATAGATTTCAGTCAAACCCCAGATGCCCTATGTCCTGATTCCTGGCCATTTAGGGTTAGATATGTTTCTTTTTTTTTTTTTTTTTTTTGGTACCAGGGATCAAACTCGGGATCTTGTGCTTGCAAGGCAGGCACCAGAACCACTGAGCTAAATCCCCGGCCCAGGGTTAGATATGTTTCTTATGTGTATTCAAGCCTTGTTTTTTCCCATAGGAAGATGTTTTGAATACACACAGAGCAGTGAATGTTCTCTACACAAGTCTGCAGTACATGTTCTGTCCAGAGACCCAAACTAAGGAACTTGGAAAGGCACTTTAGGAAAGCATCTTTGCCTTGAAATCTGACTGAGCCCATGGTATAGGCAGTTGTTCTTTATTTCTTGACCAATTTCAGTAACATAACTCTTGGGATACCAAGAGTTTTCTGAGCTGTATAGAACTTTGGAGAAGTACTGGTATTATTAGGTCAATCAAGAACCATCTGAATGTGTAAGTCCTAAGGGCTGCTTTTATTAATGTTTGAAATTAACAGCAAGGATTGAAAATACCAAAATAAATCAAGATCACAAAGTCTAGCTTTAATAACTCAAAAGGATAAGGAACCTTCACGGTTACAATGCATGTTTCTTTGGACCTTGTGCAACACTTGCTTGTTTTAAAAGACATTTTCTCTCCCTATGTACTTAGCCAGGCAGAGTACTTCTGTAAATATTCTTATCAAGAACATCAGAACATCTGCACTCTGTGCCTACACTTTAAACTTGCTTTCATTTTTTGTTTTTTTTGAGACAAGGTATTGCTATGTAGTTCAGGCTGGCCCTGAACATCCAGTGATACTCCTGCCTCAGCCTCCTGAGTGCTGGGATTAGAGGTGTGCATCACCACACCGAGATGAACTTGCTTTCTTTGTCATTTCTAAGTCATTGGTTTAGAAATGGAGGATAAAGATAGCTACTTGATGAAGTATTTATTTTGTCACTTTTTAAACCCTGAATGCCTGTTTGGTGCCAAAACCGTAAAAACCATCTCAGTCCATCTGGCTGAAGAAAACACCAGAAAGTAGGTAGCTTACAAATAACAGGCATTTATTTCTAACAGTTCTGGAAGTGGGAAATCCAGAATCAAGACAGGGCAAATCCAGTGTCTGTCCATCTCCTTTGTAGATGGGAATTTCTCACTGTCTTCACACAGTGAACAGTAGTAGGAGCTATTATATAGGTATTGTAAGAAGTACTCATATCATCATGCCTATTTTGCTGAGGAGATTTACTTGCCCAGTGTCACACAGCTCTTGTAACCCAGACAGTTGACTGCACTGTTCTTGTTTTTAAAAGGCAACCAGGTTTCTGCTTCATGGTATTTACATTTTTTTTGGGGGGGGGTTCCCACCAAATAGAAAAATCAGACAATCTAATAGTGAGAAGTTCTATGAAGACAAGAACAGATAATATAAAGAGAGACAGGAAGTTCGTGTATGTGCATCTTCATAGCACTGGCAGGTGTGATCTGTCCACGGCAGTGACTGAGCTCTGACCTGAGGATGGAACCCAGGGGAAAGAGCAGTAAGCGGAGCCCCTGAGGGAGGCTGAGTTGGCTCGGGAGAGTTGCTGAGCCAGCTGCAAGAGGAGTCAAAGACAGGCAGGGGAGAGGCTTGTGATTATGTCCAGAACTGCAACACAAGCCAGCAGTCCTGCACGGTTGTCAATATTGGCATTCACAGGTACGGAGAATTTGGTCCTATGCAACACTTTGGGGAGCATGGTTTTGCCTTTTTTTTTTTTTTTAACAAATCTGAATTGTCTTCTTTCTACTTGGTGTCAGGTTCCTAGAAGGGGACGTGAAAGATCACTTTGCGGCAGCAGTCTTGACTTCGGGAACAATTGCCATTTGGGACTTACTCCTAGGCCACTGCACTGTTCTCCTTCCTCCCAGCTCTGCCCAAAGCTGGTCTTTTGTAAAATGGTCAGGTACAGATTCTCATGTGCTGGCTGGACAAAAAGATGGCAATATATTTATATACCGCTACTCCTGAAGTTAAGAGGAGAACAGTTGTCGGGATATAGTTGGCCTCTTGGTACTTTTTGGAGTTGTAGCTGTAAAGGGGAATATTTGATATTTAAAATCATTACTTGTATGCACCCAGGCAGACTCATTTTTTTTATTCTGATGGTGGTACTGCTGGTCTTGAGTATTTATTTATACTTACTTGAAGGGTAAAGGCTTTAGGTTGATTTTTGTAATTCCCCACATTTGTACATTTGCTTTTAAAGGTGTGTGTAAAGCTTCAAATGTCAATAAATATTTATTTTGATACATTCTGCTTGACATATCCTTTTTTTCCCATTCTATTCAGATTATTTTCAAAAACAATTACTGTACAACTAGAATATTTACTTAATAATGTTTGCATAGTAAGCACATTTCAGTTAACTTAGTATACTGCTATGTAGTATATTCTATATGCTATTTGTATTACTTTATTCTCACATATATACTAAAAATGATACAATAACCTATTAAAATACCCTAATTTAGAAATACTGTTGTTTTTGTTCATTTTCACATGCATCCTTATTACCAGCGCCGTTATTAGCACTAGAACCACTTTTTTTTTTTTTTTTTTTGGTACTGGGGATTGAACTTGGGTCCTTGCGCTTACAAGGCAGGCACTGGAACCACTGAGCTAAATCCCCAGCCCACTTTTCTTTTTTTTTTGGTACAGGGGATCGAACTCAGGACCTTGCACTTTGAGGCAGGCGCCGGAACCACTGAGCTAAATCCCCGGCCCCAGAACCACTTTTGAGTCAATAATATAGCATTACTAAGTCCATCATCTTTACTTTTGCTTAAAAAATTTGAGAGAAATTTTTTAGAATTTATTTTTCTTTTTCTGAGTCAAGGTCTCACTATGTAGTTCAGGCTGTCTTCAAACTTGCAGTGATCCTCCTGCCTCTGCCTCCCAAGTGCTGGGATCATGGTGTGCACCACCACACCTGGCCTAGAATAGATTTTTAAAAGATCCTTTTTTTATATTTGCTATAGTGATTTTTGCTCTCTTCATTATTAACCTTTGGCCTTAGCTCTCTCCCCTGTGTTAATTCTGTACCCACTGTTCCTAACTTCAGGGGAGGGATACTTTGTTTGCCAGCACACTATAGACAGAAGGCTTCTGGGGCGAGCTAAGCAGAAATTCCAGTTCAGTAACTATTGAACAAACAGCAAAAACTCAGAAGTAGGCACCAGATAAAGAGACCGCTGTGTGGAGCTGGGTGTGGTGGCACACGCCTATAACCCCAACACTGGAGAGGCTGAGGCAGATCCCTCAGTGAGTTCAAGGCCAGCCTAGGCTACATAACAAGACCTTGTCTCAAAAACCAAAAAAGAAAACACACAAAAAAACCCCCAAAATAACCACTGAGACATCACTGAAGCCATCTTACTTTGAAAAAAAGGTTATCAAGAAATGAGATAATAACAAATGCTGGCCAGGCTATAGGGATTGGGAGTAAGGAACCCTTCTACATTGTTGGTGTGAATGTAAACTAGTACAACCATTATAGAAATCAGTATGGAGATTGCTTAAGAAACTAGAACAAGAAATTCCATTTGACCCAGCTATTCCCCTTCTAGGTATCTTCCTGAAAGAGTTAAAGACACCATATTACAGTGGTACGTGCAAACCCATATTTATAGCAGCCTAATTCAAAATAGTTAAATCTTAGAACTGTGTGTCAATCAACAGATGAATAGATTTTTTAAAATGTATACACACACACAAAAAACATACACAATGGAGTACTCTGCCATAAAGGATAAATTTATGTCATTTGTAGGAAAATGGATGCACTTAGAGACCATAATAAGTGAAATAAATCAGACACATAAGCTTGATATTGCATAGTTTTTCTTGTATGAGAAACCCAAAAATATAAATAAAGAGCAAAGTAAAAGATAATAGAAAACAGCAAGATAGGTCTTTTGCATTATGTGAAGGGAACAATGACGTGGAGGGAGGTGGGAGAGGAGGGAGGGAAAGGGATTAAAAAGAATTAAGATGTGTTACATGTGCCAGCTCCCCACGAGGGATGCAATCAAGTACTGCAAACGTGTGCTGATAAAATTTTAATTTTTAAAACAAAAAAACACCATCCTCCTACCTCAGCCTCCCTAACAGCTGAGGTTTGAAGCCTGTGCTATCAAGCCTGCCTCAGATACTAAATTTTTAAATGAAGCTATAAAGAAATAATTTCCAACATTGGGATCATTCTATGCATTCTGTTTTAAGTTAAAAGCATCCTAATAGGCAGGTGTGGTGGTGAATACCTGTAACCCCTGCACCTCGAGATTGCTGGGGTAGGAAAATCGGAAGATTGAGCTCAGGCTGGGCATTTTAGCAACACCCTGTCTCAAAATAAAATTAAATAAAGGGTGAGAATGTAGTTCAGTGGTAGAGCACTTGCTCAGCATGCACAAGGCCCTTTGTTTCAACACCTAGAACCACCAAAAAGGAAAAAAAGCGTCGTGTTCGATTTTACTTGGATTTAGCAAAGGTAAAAAACTGAAGGCATCACTGAGTTGTTCACACAGGCCGCAGTTAGTGTTCTGTGTGTTTTGATTAAATCAATATTCTGCTAGGGCTTTGGCTCAGTGGTAGAGTGTTTGCCTGGCCTGCTGGAGGCCCTGAGTTCCAGCCCCAGGAATGGAGAAAAAAGAAAGAAAAGCAATGCTTTTAGGCTTTTTTGTGTGTGTGTGTGACAGGGTCTCCCTATGTAGTTCAGGTTGGCCATGAACTCATTATGTAGTCCAGGCTAGCCTGGAACTCATGGCCAGCCTCCTGCTTCAGCCTCCTGAGTGCTGGGATTACAGGCGTACACCACCACACCCAGCATTTTAGGCTTTTCACTGATGTGTGCAAATTAGTGTACTTAAATTCCTTACACCACCACAACCCCATTTTTGTTGGGTGTATTATTCATTCACTGTCAAGTTTGTTTGCTTGTTTACTAGTGCCGGGGTCAAACCCAGGGCCCTGAACTTGCTAGGCAAACTCACTACTACCTATATACACTTTCAAATCTCAAAACAGGAGTGGGCCACACAAGCACAGTCCTGTGATCCTAGCAGTCTGGGAAGCTGCGCCAGGAGGACTGCAAATTCGAGCCTATGCTGTGCAACTTCATGAGACCTTGTCTCAAAATAAAAATGGGCTGGGTGAAGGCCTAGGGGTTCACGCCAAGGGAGGAAGATATTAAAACATATATATTGTTTTACCGTATTTCCTACATTTATTAGTCATGGTTTTACATTCACACATACATATATGTATATATACACACACTAGGTATGTGTATATATAAATATAAAATGGGTTTTTTTGAGACGGGGTCTCACAGTGTTGTCCAGGCTTGCCTGGAACTCCTGGGCTCAAGTGATCCTCCTGCCTCAGCCTCCCAAGTGGGGTGTGGCTACAGCCATGCACCACTGCGCCCAGCTACTAGTCTTAGTGTTGTATTTAAATCAGGTCTTACTCTTTCACATACTAGTTGGGTACTGTCTTCAATCTGTTAAATTTTAATATCTATATAAGGATTCTGGCCTCAAAACTTCTAAATAAATGTACTTCGGAACGTTTAAAGCGGAAGTAAACGTAAATCCTTGCGTCAGGGATTGGTGGTTTGGAGGAGAGACCTGCTGTGCACCTGGAACCCAGCAGCCCTTCTCCTCTAAACCTGGGGCCTACCGGGCCTCCGGGGCGCAGTTCCTCCGGGAGACGCCAGGGGCCGCCATCGCCGGCGGCTCCGGACAGCGCCGCTCTGTTCGTCGCCTGCGCCCTGCGGGACGGGAAACCTGAGCGCACAGCTGCTGCGCTGTGCATGCTGGGTCGGCGTAGCCATGGCGGCTCGTGTCCTTTCAGTCTGTGTCCGCCGCCTGCCCTCGGCCTTCGCGCCGCCGCCTCGGGTCCCCACGCTGGCCCTGGCCCGGACGTTCAGCACCGCTTTGTGTCCCGCGGGAATCTGGACGAGGCCCGGGGCGACGCAGCCGGCCTCGGTGCGAGCACAGGTGACTCGCGGTGACTTTGGCGGGCTTGGCAGGGGTCAGGTCGCGGGGGGGGGGGGGCGACCGGGGCTGCCTTACCTGCAGACGGGTGACTCGGGGGATTCAGCTCTCTCTCCAACCCCAGAGGTGAGGGTCGGTGACCTGGTGATGAATTATTCGAGTGCTGGCTGTACAGCTATTGCGGCGTTGGACAAGCCTGGTAGCTTGGCTGAGCTTCAGGCTGATGGCAGAATTGGGTACTGGTTTCTACGTGGTGGAGTGGCAGTGAGGTTCAGAGGAGACAGTGCGGGTAGAGTATCTAGTGTGCGTGGTAGACTGTCAAAATACCGATCGCCTCTAGTTGTACTGAAAATGGTAAATACTTTGGTCACTTTCTAGCGGAAGACTAATAAGCTGCAAAGAGGAAGCCACTTGGCTTCTCCAGAAAAGTTCTCTTCCTGGCTTTTGGCTTTTATTTTTTCCCTGTGACACCTTTTACCTGTTTTGGGCCCTCTGGAAGTAAGGATAGGAAACAGTATGTAGCTTTCTTACCGATGCAGCCTATGTGCGGCTGTAACCCCACGCTCCTGGCACTGGCCCGGCCTCGGCAACCCTTTGTGAGCAATGATTTTTTAACCCTCACTGCACAAATCACCAGCATAACAAATCCCTTGACCCTCCTCCCGCTGAATTACTCCCCTGGGATGAGGCCCCTGCGTGGCAATGTGTTTTATGTTCTCATGTGACTCAGAAGTGCAACCAAAGATTAAGAACTGTCTGAGCCAGGCTTGGTGATGCACACCAGTGTACCAGTTACTCGGCAGGCTGAAGCAAGTTCAAGGCCTGCCTGGCCAGTTTAGTAAGAGTTTGACTCAAAATAGAAGGTGCTGGAGATGCAGCTTAGTGGTCCAGTGCCTGCCCACCCAGTGTGTCTGCACTAAGTTCAGTCCCCAGTACAAAAACCAAAAACAATTCTCTGAAGATAGGTAGACTAGGTTAAATTTCAACCTCCTGGGCTTCCTGGTGGTTTCAGTCATGACTGCATTGCTACAGTAGAAAATGAAGATTCCCAGATTAAATCAATCAGAATCTAAAATGAAGTGACTCTTTTGTGTAGCCAGTGTTGAGATTCACTGACACTGTAATGGATTAATATAATTCAGAGGGCACTGTCCTACTGCCTGTTACTGAAAAGATAATACGCACCTTAAGGTTAGGGGTTAAAAGGACAGTAGGTAGAGTTGCTGAGTGTTTGAGTCCTGAGACTGATTTCAACATTAGGATAAAATGTGAAGTGATTGTCTCTATTCTTACAGCATTGATTCTCAGACTTGGTTAGGCATAGAGACAGTCCGTGTTAAAACAGATTCTGATTCAGTGGGTCTGGGAAGGGGCCTGAGAATTTCCATTTCCGGTGGGCTCTCACATCTGCTGCTGGTCCCTGGGCCATGCTTTGAATAGCAAGGTGCTTGAAGATGTTCTACCAGCTTTGCCTGGTTTACATGTACAGCAGAGGAACCATTTTATTTATATTTCAAAGTGGTTTGACTAAGTTCACTCAAAGATATGGAGAGCCAGGTGTATCAAGCCATATGCCTAACTGTTGAAGACTGTAGATGTTCTCTCTCGGTGAGGTTACAGGAAGTGAACAAGAAGCAAGGTTTGTTGAAGGAATGAATGAGACCTTTCTTCCCAGGTAGCCAGGCTGGGTGACTGAGTGAACATGATGCCAAGAAACGGGGAAGGCAGAGATTGGCCCTGAGGTTTCTGGCTGAGGCCAAAGGTGGTGGAAGAGCAGAGTGAGCAAGAGTTTCAGGGACATGTGTGGAGTTTGAGATAACTGGGCAGAGCTCTCCAGCAGGCAGGCTGTGGAGAGGGCCTGTGAAGACATTTCCTTAGCTTCCTGTGTTGCCCCAGGCAGAGGACCCCACGGACTGAGATGGATTCTAATGGAAATGGATTGAGTTGAGTTACTAGTCCAGGGGCCAGTCTTTCTTCCTGCAAACAGGGCCTTCTGTGATGCCTTGGGGAGGCAACTGATGTCATTGTCAAGTTGTAGGTCTTGGGGAAGAACAGTTATAAAAACAGCTTCTGCTGGCTGTTGGGGAGGTATTTTTGCTCATTCTCTATTGTTGTTTTGGGTCACTGTTGTTTTGTTTTTTAACAGCAGAGATCCAACAGGAAGGTACAATAAGACTCTTGAGAAGTCATGGTGGAGTCCTGAGTTCCATCCCTGGTACCAAAAAAATAAGTAAGAGAGGTCACGGTGGAGGACCTAGGTAGGAGACACAGCCTTTCTTTGCCTGAGTTTCCACATCTGTCTAAGTACTGTGTGTCTCACAGGGTTACTGTAAAAGTTAAGGAATGTGTTAAAGTGCTTAGGGCAGTGCTTAATCAGGAATCAATAAAGGCACCAGAAAGGCAGGGCCGTGAAGAGACTGAGAGGGAAGGCATAGCGTTCTGGGGCTACACCACAGCACAGGGCCACCCTGGCAGGCTGCCGTCGTCACAGTTTATGAGATGACCCTAAATCGCACTGGTTATGCCTGTGCTGAGCAGTGTTCAGAGCCCCTTACCTCATCTCATCAATGCCGTACAGCAATCCTCTGAGTCCAGTACTGTTCTTTATCCCCATTTTATAGATAAAGAAACTGAGGCATACAAAGATTAAGTAACTTGCCCAACTCCAAACAGCTAGTAAAAGCCAGCAGCAAGCTCCTGAGTCTGACTTGCGCACAGCACCTTCCTGCCTCGTGCTGCCCCACTGCAGCTGCTCACTGCACACTGGCCATGTACTCCAGGTGGAGTCTACTCACATGGCGCTCATCTGGCCCCAGAGCACCAGCCAGTGCTGCTCGGATGATGCTGACACCTAGTGGGCTGTGAGGGCAGCCAGGAACGAGCACACCCTCACCAGGCCTTATTTTTTTTTTGTACCAGAGATCAAACTCAGGACCTAGGGTTAGGGTTAGAAAAGGCTGCGTGTCAAGTAGAGGTGGTGGAACCAGAGGAGAGAACAGTGTTGGGAGCTGGCTTGAGGGATCGATCGCCACTGCACCTTTGAAAACACCGCCTCTCAGCTCTGATTTTTTTGTTTGTTTTGGTACCAGGGATCGAACTCGGGTCCTTGCGCTTGCGAGGCAGGCGGCGGAACCACTGAGCTAGATCCCCAGCCCCTCAGCTCTGATTTTTAACATGTTTTGGATAACGAGGATTTCTGTAAAGAGGGAGGGCAATTATTCACCCAGGTATGAAATCTTACTAAAAAGGAATTGACACTTCATTTATTCTCTTTTATCCTTCCAATAATATTTTTACCCCTTTGTAGACGTATGGTCTTCACAGAAAATGTGGATGTAATGAATAAATAGAAAAAAAAAGAGGGAGAAATCACTCCTAACCGCTACACTAGCAAAGCTATTCTCTATGTTGATTATATTCACTTTATATTATTTTTTAAAGTTATGTTACAAATCTTGAAATTTGTATCCTGTCTTCTTTTTCTTTTTCCCTTTTCTTTTTTTTTTTTGGTACCGGGGTCCTTGCATTTGCGAGGCAGGTGGCAGAACCACTGAGCTAAATCCCTGGCCCCACTTAGGATTTTTTGAGACAGGCTCTTGCCATGTAATTCAGGCTCCCTTGAACTCACTGTAGCCCAGGCTGGCCTCAAATTTGGATTGATCCTCCTGCCTCAGCCTCTTGAGTGCTGGGATTACAGGCATACACAACCACACCTGCCCCTATATGATTTTAGTGGCTGTAGTCTCACTCAGTAGGATAAATATCCAAAGCCTGAAAGCCAAGCCAGAGGGGCCAGTCCCGGCTCTGAGGGGAAGGAAGCTCATTCTGACACTGGTGACCCCCCAACGTGGTGGGTTGGTGTGTCCTGGCGGCCACAGTCAGAACCAGATGCTGTGAGCTCTGTACATCCCTGAAAGCTCTGTAAAGGCAGCTGTGGGCTTGTGCATTTATTTAAAGGCATCCTGGGTTCAATGACAGACAGTGCTTCCTTCCTGCCCTTGCTCTAGGTTCCAGGGAGCCTTCCACAGTTGTGCCGCCAGTATAGTGACGCGCCCCCTTTGACATTAGAAGGAATCAAGGACCGTGTGCTGTACGTCTTGAAACTTTATGACAAGATTGACCCAGAAAAGGTAACTGAAGGTGGTTTAAATGTTTCTCTTGAGTATTTAATCACATGGTGTGAAATTCAAAGGGCAAAAAAGCATATTCAGTTAAAAAGTCTCCCTGGCTCCCAGCCACCAGGTTCCCCACTAGGAGACAGCCAGTGTTGCCAGATTCTGGTGTATCGGTGCTGAGAAAATGCACATGCAAGGACGTGCGGTGGTTCCTCGGTCCATGAACTCAATTCTCTCCATGATTCTGGTCAAAAACCAAATTGGACAAGAACCATATCAAATTTCCCCATAAGGTCAACATTGAACTTAACCATTGAATTTGATTTGGTTCTCGTCCAACTCAGTTTACAACCAGAATGGTAAAAAGAATCAGGTTTCTGAACTGAGGTACCACTGTACACATACACATGGGTATTTATATATGTATCTCCCACAAGATAGACATATGTGGGCTGAGGGTGTCAGTTGTAGAACGGACACTTAGCATCTGAGAGGCCCTGGGTTTGATCCCCAGCAACAAAGCCCACAAGTGCTAGTGTACTGTAAGCACTGGTTCTGCCCCTTGCTTTTTTAACTTGGTAATTTAAGATTTTTATCAAATAGTACATTAAAAAGTTTCCCTTTTTTTGAGACAAGGCCTCGCTATGCAGTTCAGGCTGTCCTTGAAATCACTATGTAGCCCAGGCTGGCCTCAACTCATGTTGATCCTCCTGGCTCAGCCTCCTGCGTACTGGCATTACAGGCGTGTGCCCCCACAGCCAGCTTTGTTCCCCCTTTTGTTTTTTGCGATAGGGTCTCCTTGGGGTGCTCAGGCTGACCTTCCATTCACTATGTAGCCCAAGTTGGCCTCAGCCTCCTAAGTGCAGGGATTATAGTCATGTTCTACCACGCCCGGCTATAAAGTTTCCTTCTTTAAGCCAGACACGATAGCACACACCTCTAATCACAGATGATTGGCAGACTTAGGGAGGAGGATCCAATATTCCAGACCAGCCTGAGTGATTTAGTCACCAAATAAAAAAGCCTTCCTTAATAACTGAACCTGAGCCAGGTATAGCAGCACACACCTATAATCCCAGCACTGAGGGAGGCTGGGGCAGGAAAATTGACATTTAAGTCCTACTTGGGCAATTTACTGAGACTCTCAAAATGAAAAATAGAATAGGGTTTTTGTTCTTTTTGTTGTTGTTTTGGGTTTTTTGTGGTACTGGGAATCAAACCCAGGTGTACAGTCTACCACTGCACTACATCCTCAGCCCCAGCCCTTTTTATTTTTACTGTTTTGTTTTTGGTCCTGGGGATCGAACTCAGGTCCTTGCACTTGGAAGGCAGGTGGCAGAACCACTGAGCTAAATCCCCGGCCCGCTTTTTATTTTTTAAGACAGGACCTCACTGAGTTAGTTGTTCAGGCTGGCCTCAAACTTGTGACCCTCTTGCCTCGGCCTCCCAAGTAACCGGGATTACAGGCATGTGCCACTGTCCCTTGCAAAGAGGATTTGTTTTTGGATTTGGGGTTTAAAGAATTCTTCCTGGTGATTTGAGTGGGGCACGATTGGGGACTGAACCCAGAGCCCTGCGCCTGCCTGGTAGACATGAGCTACACCCTCAGCCCTTCCTGGTGATCTTCAGGTCTAAGTTGAAAGAAGAGTGACATAGACACTTTGCCGGCTGCAGCTTACAGTAGTCTTTGTTGTTTTTAATGCAGCACTGGGGATAACTCCAGGGCCTCGTGTGCTAAGCAAGCCCTCCACCACTGAGCAACCCCTCCAGCCCTACAACAGCCAACTATTCTTTCTTTTTTAGACAGGGACTTACTATGTAGTCCAGGCTGGCCTTGAACTTGGCAGTCTCCTGTCTCAGCCTCCTGAGTACTGGGATGATGAGCATGCATCACTACATCTGACTTTAGTCTGCTATTTTTTTTTTTTTTTGGTACCAGGGATCGAACTGTGGACCTTGCACTTGCGAGGCAGGCAGCGTTACCACTGAGCTAAATCCCGGGCCCCATAGTCTGCTACTTTGGAGGGAGAGAAATGCCACCTCTAAGGTGTGGGGTCTCAGTTGTCAGTAAGGCATCAAGAAAACAACTCCCCTAGATGTCACGTATGACAGTGATTAAAGACCATAGTAAAAAATGCCAAGCATGCTGACACACACCTGTGATCCTAGCACTTGGAGGCTGAGACAGGAGGATCACTGCAAGTTTGAGGCCAGCCTGGGCTACATAGTGAGTTCAAGCCCAGCCTGGACTACATAGTGAGAGCCTGTCTCAAAAACCAAAAAAAACCATAGTGAAGGCTATGACGTGGATTCCTTCATCATTAGTTTTGCTACTGTGTTAACCACTTCAAAACAAAGTTGAATGAAGTAACACAAAGCACACTCACACGTAACAGCATAGGTTAAATACAGAATGGTAGTTAAGGCTTCTGTATTTTAAAAAGAAATCTTCTAGCTGGGCATGGTGGCACACTCCTGTAATCTCAGCACTTAGGAGGCTGAGGCAGGAGGATCCTTGCAAGTTTGAGGCCAGTCTGGGCTACATAGTGAGCCCCTGTCTCAAGCCCTGCCCCTCTGCCCCGAGTCTATATGGTGCATAAGTGGACAGCACTGGTATGTTGGGAAGGAAATACTTTCATCATGTACTAAATTTTGTTTGGTGTTCCTTTCTTGCAGCTCTCGGTAGATTCCCATTTTATGAAAGACCTGGGCTTAGACAGTTTGGACCAAGTGGAGATTATCATGGCCATGGAAGATGAATTTGGTAACATACCTAGGCTTAGTCTTACCTCTGCATACCGTGGTTGTTAAGTAAGGTGGATCAAACTGAAAGGAATACTGCGAGTCTGAGAGGAAATCAGACATTAATAGAAACAGCAACGTGCACTTCCCCACCCACTTCCTGTCAGGGAAAGTGAATGCTAGGGATGGCCCACTATGGAACTGTGGATGGGTGACTGGAAATGCTCGGAGGTGCCTGGGACTTAGATTCTTCAGATGGTTCCAGAATGAAGCACAAAGGCCTCACCTGTAGAGATGCTGATGACACTAGAGCGCCTCATGTTGCCCTAATTGGCGACAGCAGCGAGGCAGAAATGACAGGTTGTGTGAGGACACATACAGCCCTCTGCCCTTGGTCTCCCTTAGTGCCTTAAATGCCTGCTCCAAGCTGTCTTTGTTGGGCACTATTTGTTGTGCAAATGAGACCTTTATAAAAAAATGACTTGGTTTATTTCTGGGTGAGCTGCTTGAATAGGGAGCAGAGGGACTTGTGCCACCCTTAGGGCCTGACTTAGTTAAAATTCCTCACAGATGATGCTGACTAAATGGAGGATGTTGTCTGCCCCGCGGTTAGAGAACCAGGTCTGGCTGGGCTTAGCCCTGTGTGAGCCTGAACAAGTAACTGTTCTGTTTCCTCAGCTGTAAAATGAGGGTGACCGGAGTAGGAAGCTCAAGATTGGGAGTGCCATAGAATTAGAAAGCTTATGGGTAAATAACACTGAGCCAGAGTAACCACTCAGTAAATGGTAACTCTCAAAACCCAACCATCCAGAAAAAGGAATAAAATACAGTACATATTACAACATGGATGAACCTTGAGAACTTGCTGAGTGAAAGAAGCTGATTCAGAAGACATGTCGCATGATTCCATATATATGAAAGGTCATGAGGCAAATCCAGCCAGGCATGGTGCCACAGAAATAGAAAGGGCTAGGGATGTAGCTCAGTGGGAGGGTCCTGGGTTTGATCCCCAGTTCCACCACCAAAAAAAATTAAATCCATAGTGACAGACTGGACCAGTGCTTGCCATCATGAGTCGTGAGTGTAAGTGGCCGCCCGGTTTCTTCTTAGGGTGGATGAAAATGTTCTGTGGGATTAGATATTGGTACTATACAGCCAGGGAGCTATATGCTTAAAAAGCAGGAATTTCCTATTTTGTGTAGGAAAAAAGCCCTAACTGGCTCACAACCTAAATGAGATTCCAGATCGCTGGCTATTTCTGATACACCTGTATGTGTCACGAAGTGTCAGTGTTGTTGGTCTAAGGGGTATGCTTTTTCTGTACTCACACGTTGCTGTACATTTTTTTCATTTAGGGTTTGAAATTCCTGATATAGATGCGGAAAAGTTAATGTGTCCACAAGAAATTGTAGATTACATTGCAGATAAGAAGGATGTATATGAATAAAATACCAGGTAAATAATCTGATTTACATAAGTGTTCTCCTATAGAATTATTCTAGTCTGGTTCTTCAATAAAGCAAAAGTTAAAAATAGGAGTGCTTGACACATTTTCACTAATTATAAAATGCAGGCTGCTTCCAGTTACTGCATCTGCCACTTGAAGGGTGCCTCCCTGCTGGTGATTTTTGTTCTGAAATGGGCCTGGGAACAGGAAGGACTCCTTGAGGTCAGCTCTTACGAGTAAAGGTGACACAGTACAGGCCCTCCTTGTTATCTAGCCATGTTAGGTCTGGCCCTGTGCAGGAAGTTGAGGTGCCTGGCTTCTCCTCTGGCAGGGCGGCCTCATGGTAGGAGCACCTTTGGAGTCAGAGGCCCAAGCTTGTCCTCAGCTTGCCATCAGCCTGGTGAACCTGGGCAGGCTGCTTAGCTCTGCTCAGTCTCCTCATCTGTAAGACGGCACTGGTGGTGGGACTTGGCGGGGGCTCTGGAGAAGGTAAATTGAGCAGTGTATGTGCGCTGCTTATGCTGCCTCGTGGAAAAAGCCTCTCAGTAAACGCTGGCTGTTACTCGGCTCTAGAATAATCAAATGAGAAGACTAATTAAAATACCGTATAGTGTCTATGTATGTAGTTACACTGGACCTAATATCTAAAAGGTATCACTTAAGAGTCCCTCACTATGTGGCAGACAAACACTGAACTTATTCTGTTCTTGGCAGACTCCTTTCCTCACGGAAGATTCCAGTGATACTGGAGACTGGAAGCGAGAATGCATTTTATCACACAGAGCAACTCTTTTGGACTTGTATTTAAGTTGTCTTGTTTTGCCCTTTGAAAATAAATCGATAAAACCAACATTTTTTCTCATCCTTTTTCAGTGATGTTTATAAAGTGCCTATCTGTACTGTTAACTGCTTAGTATTTTAAAAATGTAGCTGAGGGCCAGGGATTTAGCTCAGTGGTTCTGCCTCCTGCCTCGCAAGCGCAAGGTCCCAAGTTCGATCCCCGGTACCAAAAAATAAAAAAGTATCTTATTTGTCATTAGTATTCATTCATACATCTCAGAACCACTCAGCTTATCCAGCCACGCAGTTGGAGTAAGTCTCTCTCCCTGCCATCAGTATATGGAATGAATGTATTTATGATCAAAACTTCTTATTCCATTGGCCACTGAGTTATCAGGTGAGACCAGCTAATAGTCTCTGACAGTCGTTTTTCATCTCTTACCTAAGGATCCCTTTCCTTTTTTACATTTTTTTTTATTGAGACAGGGTCTCCCGTTGTAGCCCAGGCTGGCCTTGAACTCACAGTGCTCACACTGCCTCAGCCTCCCGAGTGCTGGGATTATAAGTGTGCAGCACCACGCCCGGCTCTATATTAATACTTTTGGAAGCTGGGAGGCTCTCTTTCCTTCTGGAAGGTCAGCCTGGCATTGTATCCCTCATCAGTGAGTATTGATTCTGCCTCTTCTGTTCTTAGGGCTGTGTAGGTAACACGCATATATTCCCTAGGGGTGTTTGTTTTGTTTTATTGTAGGTATTTTCCCCGTTATCAGTATGTTGGTGATAATCATAACTACATTCACCGCGGGGAACTGGTACATACTTGTACCGCATTTTGATCCTTTTTACTTCCCCCCTTTCCTCCCCTTCCTCTGGTTTTGTTTTTCTAATACAAATTGTTTGTACCCAGACTAGGACCAACTCTGCAGCAGGAGCCAGTCTGCCCAAAGGCACTAGGGCCACAACACCAAAACGGATGTGGAGCCAGACCCCTACGACACGAAGACACTGCTTGCTCTTCCAGCAGTCTAACATAATCACAGGCACCACACTAGCCCGCAGCTGCCACCTTCTGGGTGGCCCCTAGGTTTGGGTAAGACTTAGCCTGACAGTCATGTTATAAAATGACTGCTCCCCTTTTACTGGAATTCTGCTGTTAAGCGGGGGACTGTGGGCCTGTACTGGGTAGTATCATTGAGGCCGAGTGGCTGAGCTGAGTCCCCTCCGTGGGCAGGACCCTGTGGCAGAGGATGAAGTGGCAGAAAGGCAGGAGTCGGCCCTGGGATTGGCCCACTCGTGCCCACTTCTCTTCCTGAGGTGCCGGTGGGGCTGGTTCCTGCTCCGTCACCCGAGTTATTCCTGGCCTTTAGATGCATTCCCTTCTTTTTGGTAATAGAAGACATTCACTGTTACACTGTCCTTTTTTTCCCCTTAATATGTAACAAGATACCCTGGAAATCTAAAGTGGAGCATAAGGAGTTTCCTTATTCCTTTTACAGCTGCTTTTGTTTTGTTCTGTTTTGAGACAGGGTCTCACTGTGTAGTTTAGGCTGGCCTGGGCCTTGACCTGCCTCAGCCTCCCATGCTCGGGTTACAGGCCTGCGCCACCATGCCCAGCCCTGTACCAAAATGGTAATGACAGGTACACAGGGCTTATTTTTGTTACCCTATTTTCTAAATTTGTTTGTTTTTGGTACCAGGGATCAAACTCGGGTCCTTGTGCTTATGAGGCAGGCAGCGGAACCACTGAGCTACATCCCCGGCCCCTATTTTCTAAATTATAAATAGGTAATAAATGAGAAGCCAGGTGTGGTGGCACATGCCTGTAATCCCAGCACTCAGGCTGAGGCAGGAGGATTGTGAGTTCGAGTGTTCACCTGAAAACCCCAGGCTTACAATGAGTGAAGATTATCATGTCCAAATATTTTTGGAGGTGGGAGTAACAGGCCAGTAAAAGCCTCATCTGGGATTTTTACTTGAACTCTTAGGGAGAAATAGTTCTTTCTTTTGGGGCTACTAGTCTGGTAGGCTCTAAGTCAACAGAAAACAAAGCAGAGCCAGGAGTCAATGGCCCGGTGTTTAACGGGCCGATTTGAGTCCTGGACTGAGTCTGACACAGGATTCCAGTACCACGGGCCAGGTCCCTCTGCCTGTCACATGAACGTTCCTCCAGCGTGGAGCCCTGGAGTCGGAGTCTCAGATGCAGAAGCGGAGCAGTGATCACTGGGTGAGAAAACTGCTGCGCTCTCTGGAGCCACTGCTCCGACACACCCCAGCCACAAGGAGCAGAGGACATGCAGAGCAGTCTGCAAAGGGCAGACACGGGGTCACAGTGCAAAGAGTGGATACACGGGAGGGCCTAGGGACGTGGCGAGTGGAAGAGCACTTGCACTTGCCTAGCGCGCGTGAGGCCCTGGGTTCAATCCCCAGCACTGGGGGGGTGTGTACACGTGTGCGCACACATGGGTAAAATTCTTGTCTAAGGTGAGAGAAGAAAGCTAAGACTGGTAACAACAGAAAAGTTAAAAGGATAAAGATACAAAAGACAAGATTTAAACAGGATCATTAACTAGAAAAAAAATTCTAAAATATATTTTGCCCTGTATATTATTAGGTGATCTGACTGAATACTAATTTTCTTAGGCAAGATCATGGTACTGTGGTAAAACATCCTTCTTGGGAGATGCACACTAAAATAGCCATATGTGAAGTGTCACAGTATCTGTCAAATGTTTCCAGAAAATGAAGCGGTTATGTCTAGAGAAAGCAAAGATGGCTAATGTTTTAACAACTGCTAAACCTGGGCCGAGGATGTAGCTCAGTGGTTCCACAGCCTGCTTTGCAAGCGCAAGGTCCCAAGTTCGATCCCTGGTACTGGAAAAAAAAAATCCTACACCTATGTGAAATATATAGCTTTTTACAAGTCTGAAAATTTTCCAAACAAGGGAAATATGAAAGGTTTAAGGGTAAAAACAGAAGCAAGAAACTTGAAATTCAGAGTTGTAATATGGGGAGGACAGTACGAAAAGTTGAGAAAAAGCAAGGCTAACAAGTCTTCAGAAAAGTAGCCTTGGTAAACTACACAAACCCAAAACAGTTTGAGAAGGTAGAGAAGTCTGAGGGGAGGGGCAGAACTCCCAGCTGCAGGCAGGTGAGCGTTCAGGCAGTGGTCTCCTGGGTAGAAGCATCGCATTCTTCCTCAAGGGCCAGCCGGAACGGGACAACTCCAGGCAAGAGTGGGTAGAAATGTGGCCTCTTGCCCTAATGACTATCATCTGGCTGATGGGTCTCCAGTGTAGAAAAAGAACTGTTTCCCAAAGTGCAGAAAATACCAGATGTCTCCCAACAGTATGGTGACACATTTGTGTTGGAGTTTACCTCATTCTCCATCTCAGGAGACGCAATCATCCTGTTAGTTTTAAACTCCCTGAACTGCTCAGAACTGGGGGAAAATCCAGAAGTACCCTGTGAATAGACAGAAGATCCTCAGGAGGCATCAGATGGACAGCAGGTGGCATGATCCACCTTGCCCTCCTCTCCCAAGTGACAGCCCAAGCCTTGAGAGCCCAGCAGAGTTGCTTCAGGACCATGAAGTCCTAGGAAAATGGAAAAAAGCTGAGCCATCTCCCTTCTGGGAAGGGGAAGTGAGACCAGAACCTTCAGCAACATTTAAAAAATATGGACAGGGACAGGGATTTAGCTCAGTAGTTCCGTCGCCTGCCTCGCAAGCACAAGGTCCGGAGTTCAATCCCCGGTACCAAAAAAAATAAATAATTTTTAAAATTGTTAAAAATTAAAAATATGGGAATGAGAAGAAAGGGTCTACTGGGAGTGGTCCTGGGTCAAAACCAGTTTGGACAAACTATCAACCACCAAGGATACCATCCTGGTCCCATTTTAGGGTAATAATCTTCCCCCTCCCTCCTCCTGGGTTTGTGCAGCCTGTAGCTAGAGCTCTGTTTCCAGTGCTTTATTAAACATGTCCGCGAAGGCTAAATGGTCGGTGAAGTACACGAGGTACCTGGCGAGGTGGAAGGGCGGGTGGGTGGGCAGCTGCCCTCCGATGCATGGCGGCCGGAGCACCCAGAGGGCTGCCCAGGGAGAGTGACTCACTGGCAAGGTGGTCAGTCTGGCCGCCACGGAGTAACTGAAATCTCTGTTATCAACTGTTCAGTAGAGAACAAATTCTAATACATTTAGAGTCAAAGAAAGAAGACCAAATCTGGCAAAAGATGGCTTTAGGCACAGCTGCAAATATTGTTCAGTCCCCAGCATGAATGAGGCGCAGGAAGAACTGGAAGGAAAGAGACGCAATTAATTATCAAACTTTAATTGATAGACTAATTTTACAGGATAAACAATAAGACAGCTAGTCAAGATTACACTTTTTAAAAAAATCCAGCAGCGCAAATCTAAGAGACTAAATACGTTCATCTCCTCCCAAACAGGCATTTGATTTAAAACAAACCAGAGCAGAGCGTACACCACAAGGAAACATGATACTCACATACATTTGTCAAATAACTGTAGAACTCTTTAGGAAAGGAAAAGGTTCTTAGAAAGTTAGAAAGCAGTAGAGCCACCTGGCCTGGCAGGTCAGTCTACCAGATGCTCTGCACCTCAGAGGGCTCCCGACCACCCACGACTTCAGAAGGGCTGCTAGAGGCCACCCTATCTGGAGACGACTGGGAAAGGCTTAAGACAAAGGGACCATCCTTCTCCCAGACAACAGGCACGGCGAGGCGAGGAGCAGGAGGAAGGTCTTCCTCAGCAGATGGTGGGCAGCAGGCCCGCCCTGCATGGCCTGGCTCTTGGCACACTGAATCTGCCCCTCGGCCCTCTCAGCTCCTGGCAGACAGGGTGGGCCAGGTGGAAGAGCACACACGGCTCCTCCAGGCACATGGTTAGGTGATATGAGGAAACTGAGTCCCTTCTGGGTGAAACAGGGCAACTTCTGAGGCGTGGCAAAGTTAATCTCTTTGGCCCTCATAAGGTAAAAGCAGCAACTAAGGAGCCCGTGAGGGTCTCACTTGGGCCCCTGTTCTGTCCGCAAGATTGTAAGAAAGTGCACCCTTAACTCACTTAAACTGCATTTAAAAAGAGCAGATACTACTTGCAAAAGGCCCATCATAGATTAAAATACTTCATACCAAAGAGTTCCAGCAACTCACAAGTCTCAATTCTCTGACCTGACTGACTGAAACGGTGCTGAGAGGACCCGGCTCAGCAGGGATTATGTCGTCACATTATGCTCCCGAGTCACCTCAGGGAGGGAAGGAGGGCCAGCGAAGCCCTGCAGGAGGATCGCCAGTACCAGCTGTGGATGGGAAAGCAGCCCGCTGTGGGGCTCTGGAGCGACAGGCCCCTCCGCTCCTCACCTCCGGTAACCCTGCCTGCCGAGGCCTCTGTGGGAGGCCGCTCTTCCTTTAGCCACCTGCATGCCCCCTGCCACAGGGAGGGGAAGTTCTGGTCCCCTCCAATCTGACAGTGATGAAACTGTACAGAAATAATCCTGAGGAAAAAAATAAACACTATGATGCTACCTAAACGGAAAAGTATTTCAGTTTGCTTACACAGATTTAGTCAGTAAATTTCAGACAGTAAGAAATATATAAAGAGACCGCCCACAGGATGTAATGACAAAAGAGTGAATACTGCTGTGATCCACACATGGATCTTAAACACTCCTCTCATGGGCTTCTGGTGCCGTGTGCCTCTGCCCTCTCGAGCGCTGCCAGCGAGGCCTTCCATGCGGCCAGGGTCAGGAGCCAGAGCTCAAGATTGGGACAGCAGATTCAGTGAGCTCTACAAAGCAATACTCAAACAGCTCCATACGAAAAGATGTCATTTACATCGTTATTTATATATAGTATCTTGAAGTAAGGAAAAAAGCACCATTTGACTGAAAATTAAAAAGGCTCACGCAGGCTTTGGTCCTCTTGAAATGACACCAGCCTGAGTGAGAAGCAGTTCGGCCCGTGGGCAGCAGGGAGACAATGGCATACACTAAGAAGGGACACCAGAGGGCGCTGGGAGCGCACCGGGGGCAAGCGGCGGGCTGAGGAGAGGGGCCTCTGAGAGGGGCCTCAGAGCTGATCTGGGGACAAGCACCTGCTTACAGACCAAAAATGGGAGTTGGCACTGCGAGGCAAGTCTTTAAGACAAGGACATTGGCAAACGAAAAGGGCAGTGTTCAACTGCTGCCTGATCACTTCCTCTGCAGACCTGTCAACCACAGGAGGCTGGGACAGGGAGCCAAGACCCACTCTTCCCCGAGAACTGCACGCCATCGAGAACAGGAAAGCGCAGTGACTGCTCCTTTCTCAAGGGATGAAAACAGTTAGTTTCTTGGATGCTGTACTCCACATACATACTCATGCCTCCAAAAAAGCAAAGAGTAGATTTTCTTGCCCAGATGCATAACTTGGCATTGACTACAACCACGAAAAGCAAGTCTGTCTATATGGGTTGGATTCCTGAACTACAGCTTAGAAGGGAAGGGCACATAATATCGTCATTAACTGGCTCACAAGGAATAGTCATCTTAGGTGAACACATGCTAATACGTTTCACAGAATGAGGAGGGTAACAGCTTGGAATCCAAATATGAAGGTGGGAAGATTTCTTGCCAAACCTTACTACGAGAGCCTGCAACCAGAGAGGAGAACTGCAAAGACAGCAGCAGAGAAACAGCAAACAGCACAAAGGGTACCATCCACTAAGACTCCCTTATTTCAGAGTCAATCAAGTCATAAGGAGACGACAGAAATTCACGTGTACAAAGAACGCAAGGGCTAAAACCAGAAGATGAGCTTATCATGAAAGCAACTTATTCCACTTCTGCTGTTCAAACACCATCAGCCAAGCCACCAGATCAGATGTCCTCCTACTGACAAAGGCAGCACCTCTGGAGCTGGGATAAAGGACACTTGAACTTAATGCATGAGCAGAAGGACCAAACGGAGAAACAGAACTGAAATCATCATTGGACTGCTTAAGAATGTCTTGAAAACTTCCCAAGCGAAGAGGTCTCTAGATCTGTGGGTAGACAGCTGTGTCAGTGAGCTTCTGCCTGGCTCCTCCTCAGAGCTGGGGCTGTGGAGCAGCCTGGCTGAGGCACAGTGATGCCAGGCCGGCCCAGGGAGCCATGCTCAGTGAGGGCTGCCGACAGCCGTCAAACCAGTGAGGGAACTCCCCAGAAGCTGGGGTCCCGAGGGCAGGATGTGTAGACAGGAATCACCTGTGAGACACTCCGCTGCTCCACAGACACCACGGCAGGGTGTGAGCTCCCTGACCAAGACCCCGCGGCTCCTCCTCTCCCCCATGCATTCCCAAGCAGCAGCGGCATGACAGAAGGGAGCCCAGGAGAGGAGGTGTGGATGAGGTACCAAAAGAGGAACTGACATCTTTGGGTTTTTAAAATAAAAACTCAAATCTAGAGGAAGTGAGAAAATTAAAAAGGGAGAGAATTAAATCTGAATCGATGGACAGGAACATATGGCTTACTAAAACCCCCCATTTTGCATACAATTTTAACATCAAGAAAAAAGAAAAAGAAAACACAAAAACACCCCAACTTAGCACAATGCAGTCCAAATGTTTGCAACCAAAGGTTTATGAAAATATTTCAGTTGAAATCATTTTTTAAAAGCAAAAAACAAAACAAAAGGAAGCTTTTGATGATTCCCTTCTCAACATTAACTGGCAGATCTACTCTTGGACAGACTTTAGAGTGTTCCACACAACATGTTCGGAATTCAGATTTATTGATTTCCATGGTACTGACTTTAAAAATGGTATGACGCTGACTGCAGGAAAGGGAACTGGTGATTTTAAGTTAAAATTAAGCTAATGGTGAAAGTACATCACCTCTGGCTTCAGTCACCACATCGCCTCAGAATGAATAGATTGTTTTTGTGAGCAAAGGTCCAGAACTCTGAAATCCAGGATGCTGCAGGCCTCTCCCACAATGTCCTTCACTTTGGGTCAGTCTCCTGGGCCAGAGGTGAAAGTGCTTTCAAAAATACTGCCACTTGCCCAGCACAGTGTCTTTGATTGCATCCACATACTGAGTTGGAACCCAGTACACCCAGTAGTACGAGGCTTCCGTGGGGCCCAACTGAAATGCCTGGAAGGGAAAAAGGAAAACCAAGCAGTACTTCAGAGATGGGTGACTAACAGGCAGAGCACAGGCATGGGGGAGGTGGGAGGTGAGCCCATTAGAAAGGAAAGAAAACACGAAGCTGTACATATGGGGAGCACTCGCTTACAACCTCAAAGGGACCTCAAAAACAAAGGAGCTCGGCACGGCGAACCTCAGAGCAGCAATGCTCAAGCCTGAGTGCACAGCAGGGCCAGGCGAGGGCTGTGTGGACAGAGCCCGCAGGCCCCCGCCATGCAGAGGGAGGAGGTGGGGCTGAGAAGCTTCCACAGCCCCCAGGGCAGCAGCGCTGCCCTCCTAGGCACTGGTGTGAGAGCCACTAGCCTAGAAGGCGTCCCACATGCCTAAGGACACAGGTCCTCAAAGCAGCACTGCCCCAAACGACAAAACCCTGGCAACAGCCTACACACCCACCAATAAGAGGATGTGTAATTCAGAGTGGAGCGGTACTGTCACACGCACACGTGGGGCGCTCTGACAACGGGTATGAACAGGATCCTTACGGTCTAGAGGTTAGTACACATCACCATGTGGAACCAGAAAAAGCAAGTTGCAGAAAGGTGCATATACCGTGACACCATGCGGAAAACTGAAAAAACAGAACACCACCTGATCTCGTTCATGGCCACATACATAAGTAAAGCATAAACAGATGGGAAGAATACACACCAGAACTGTGGCAAGGGCAGCAGGAAGGGGAAAACAATGGGAACATCATCACTGCTGGTGCATTGTATTTTTTATTTGAAAAAGATTCAAACAAGTTACAAAGTATGTACAACTGTCAATTCTCGGTGATGGACATATGGGTTATGGTACTCTCTGTCCTCTGTGTTTTTTAGAACACATCTCTAAAAAGCATACAGCCACATTTTTCTAACTGTGAACTGTGACATAAACCTAGCTAGACAAACAGCATCTACCATTAGGACAAAAGTAAAAATGCTATTTACAGTGCTTAGAAAACAGACAGGGGCTGCTGGAACCATCTTCTGCCAGAAATGACTCCAAGGAGAAATGAACATTCACACTGAGTGCATGGCCCTTACCCACGCACACTAACCTTCCGGAGATGCCCAGGTTGCTCCATCCAACTCACACATCCCTATCATCAGGCTGCCTCCAAACTAGGGCTACGAACCCCACAGGGTCAGACTGTTCACACAAATATTTTAAAAAGGAGTAAGGGGCCCAGCCAATAATATTAAAATCCAACTTTGTGTTAAAACAGAAAAGTAACAGGCCAGACAAAGCTGTCTGCAGTCTTGTTTTAAAGACTACAGAAAGATCAGGAGCAGTAAGAAGGCACTGGCTGAGGACTGCCAGTGACATTCCCATCGCTGCCGGGAAAAGAGTCCAGGCGCCTACCACTCGGGGACACAGTCCCAATCAGGGCCTGCGGTAGCCTCAGCCAGCTGACAACACTGACAGGGCTGGAGCCCATCGCACTTCCATCTTTCCTGTACCAAGAGGATCTCCCCACACGGCCCCTGCACAGGTCGCACCACTGCACTGTTCCCTGGGTGGGGCCGGCACAGCTGCACTGCTGACAGGATGCAGAAAAACCGCCTCCTCAGGGGGAGCATGGCAGACAGCCCTGCCCTCATAAGACTGCTACTTCCAGTCAAGGCCCTTCAGAATAACTTAGGAACCTAGGTAGCTAAACTGCATTTTTTTTTTTGGTACCGGGGATCAAACTTGGGACCTTGCGCTTCCAAGGCAGATGCCAGAACCACTGAGCTACATCCCCGGCCCTTAAAATGCTCTCCAAAAAGGCCCGGCCCGGCCCTTAAAATGCACTTTTTAAAATGCTCTCCAAAAAGACCAGGGATTTAGCTCAGTGGTTCCAGTGCCTGCCTTGCAAGCGCAAGGTCCTGAGTTCAATCTTCGGTACCAAAAAGAAAAAAAGCTCTCCCAAAAGTGCTGGGAAAAGAGAGCTTGGTCTGAGCTGCTCATCTCACTGGATCACTGAACTCCTTGCCGTGCTCTTCACAGACCTGCAGAGTGCCTGCACACGCTGCCTTGGGGAAGTGCAGCCTACTCTGTAGAGCAGAGCTCCGTGCAGAACAGATGGACCTCAGACCCTGTCCCTCACAGGACCCCAGCCATGCGACAAGCACAGTCTGGCACATGCAGGGCCACAACAGAAGAAAGACTGCCTGGCGTCTTCCTAACTCCAAGGCGGGGGTGAGGGGCTCTCTTTCTATTAACAAGACAAAATTAAAAATGAAAACCCAGGGCCGGCAATTTAGCTCAGTGGTTCCAGTACCTGCCTCGCAAGCGCAAGGTCCCGAATCCCATCCCTGGTACCAAAAAAACCAAACCAAAACAAAAGAAAATCCATAAGCCATTCTTCCTCTTTATTTTCCTGGTCTAAAAGCAAATAAGAAACATTTCCAAAGCAGGGCAAGAGAAAACAATCCCTTTAAACTGCTGAAGGTGGGCAGCAGAACAGGGTCGTGAATGAAACTCTACGTTGATGAAGAAAACGAGGGTCTTAGATATGCCCTCCACCCCCTTTCTGAGACTGGGTCCTGCTCCATAGCCTAAGCTAGCCTGCCTCAGCTTCCTAGGTGCTGGGAGCATAGGCATGCGCAACCACACCCAGCTTCTCAAAGTTTTCTGAAGAGTTCTCTCTTCAATTAGAAAAGCTCAATTTCAAATCCATTCCTGCTAGGTAAGCGGAAGCAGAGGCCTAATCAGGGACGAGGCTAACCTGGGGTACTCACCATCATGTGGTAGTCTTCATGTCCTTCGATAGGTTCGCTGACCACATTTTTAATGGAGCCCATGGGCAATTTCTCAGTCCGCTCTAGATTGAGAGGGATGACAGTGGTTATTCAGAAGTCTCCCTGTTCTAACTCCTCTGCCTCAGCAATCCCTCCCTCACCAGGGCTGGGGGATCTACAGGGAACTGACTGGCATAGCCCCCTAAGGAACATGGGACACCATCTTCCCATGTGGGATCAGTGCCCTGAGATCCCTGCTTGGGAACTGGGAATTCCTCAGGAGCGAATGGGGAACAGGAATCAACAATGATATACTAAAGGTCTCTGAGAGCAGAGATAGATCTTTCCTAGTGTTTTTCCTTTTGTGTGTGTGCCTGTGTGTTTTTTCTGGTGTTAGTTTTTAAAGTCTCATGATTAACAAACACCCAAGAAACTATTTTATACTCTCACTGCCCAAGCCCAAGCATTGGTTAAGGTCTTAGACACCTAGAATAGGGAGAACAAGAGCCCACAAATAGAGATGCAACAGTGTTCCCCTGTGGTTCTCTCAAAGAGGGAGCAATGCTCAGGCTTTAAGGTCACTTCCTGTACCGTGATCCTGCTGCCCCTCCGTCTCCTCCCTCCCGTCACCCTGTGTGTAGACACACATTTTACAAAGTTCTTTCAAACATTTATAACCTCATGTAACGCACACTGGAGATGCCTCTAATCACAGGGGCTAGAAGACATTTTGCAGCAAGTTTAAGGATGCTGGGTAAGAAAGAGGAGGCGGTGCGGGTGCCTGGAGATGAGACTGCTGAGCACGAGCCAACTACAGGACTGGTGTGAGGGCAGGGATTGGGGGCACCTGCACCATAGGAAATGACCCCAGAAGCAGCAGACACCTGAGATGCAGGCAGGCATTTCTCTGCAAACAGTTAAATCAAAATGAAAGACTCATTACAGCCTCTGCAGAAAGGAAAATCTGAAAATGTAGGATGTGAAATAGGTAAGTTGCCAAACAGTCTTGCAATTTAGAGACCTGGGTTCTAGTCTACCTGGTTACTTAAGACAATTTACTTCCATTTCGGAGGACTTAGTTTCTCTTTCTGAAAAAGTGGCAATTTGGAAGGGACCTGAAGATATTCACTCAAGTTTATACTTTTTGTGGGTCTCCACAGTGGCCACGGATACAAGATCAACAACAGCTGTCTTCAAGACTGAAACTTCTGCAGGGCGTGGTGGTGCATGCCTGTAGTCTCAGCACTGGGAGGCAGGAACTTCACTATGAGTTTGAGACCAGCCTGGGCTACACAGTTGAGTTCAAAGCCAGCCTGAACTGCACAGCAAGACCCTATCTCAAAAAGCCAAAAAAATCCAAAACAAAAAACCTGAAACTTTAAAAGTTTTCAGCTTGAAATGTCTGGAAATTTCACATAAAGGTATGGATTTCTGGCTTCTCTTGAAAACTCCAAAGACTGGATACTGCTGGGCCCACACTGCAGAGTGATAGCAATCAGGGTCTCAAGTGCACCTGTTCTACATGAGGCTTCACTCTGCAGAGATTCAACTCTCCTAGGACAGGGCATAGACTTCCAGGAAGCTGCAGGTTCTTCCGGCTGTGTTCCTGAGGCTATTGGTAGTGTCTTCCCCTAATACAAGGCAGCAGAGACCTTACAGGGGGAGAGTAGTCCTGGAGGGTCACTTACATCGTGAAGCCAGCTAGCTGCTAAGAAGGTTACTCCACAGCAACCTCTAATGAATGGAAAGATGAAGCCAGGGCTAGCACCAACTCCCAGGACAAGCTGTCCTTCTCCAAGGCCTCTGACACTCGGTTGACAGGACACCTGGGCAAGTGGGAAGAGCACCTGCCCCTGGGTAGCTGAGGGACACTGACACAGCGCTCTGGGTGGGAATGAAGAGCTCAGCCTTGGTCAGGCCTGGAAGGCATGAGTCTGAAGCTGTGCTCCTTAATAAGGGTGAAAAGAAGGCTTTCAGGAGCTCAGAAGCCCAAGGCATCAAGCTACTTCTAGAGCTCTGCCCTCATGCCAAGCAGGAAGGTGGGTGCTTCCAGAAGATGAAATAAAACCTCCAATGTGCAGACAGGCGTTCATTAGGTCAGTCCCTGCAATTACTGGGTTTCCTATATAACTTAACAAAAATACTCCCCAGAGACCTATGAGCACATAGACACTCGGGCTCCACCCAGACCCCCTGCCTGCACCCATCCTCCTGGGCATCATCATCATCCTAGATCAACCTTGCCAACCGCCTTCAGTTGGGCTGCCCACAGCAGGAGGAGAACTCTCGAAAGAGGCAGGAGATCTGGATGCTTCAGCAAGTGAATGCAATGATGGAGAACTAAGCAAGATCACCTGCAAAGCCAACACAGGCAGGGCAACTAGGGACAGAGGACTGGGGTAACAGGCTCTGCAAAAAAGAATCATCTGGTAAATGGTTCAAAGGTCCTTGGAAAAACTGAGGAAATCCTTAACAATCTGCAAAACTTGCACTGACCATGCAGTTGGGAGTTCAATGTAAAATGAAAACTATAGTGAATTATCACGAAATTGTCAGAGAACTCAAGTGCTTTTGGCACTTCAGTCTGGTCCCTTTAAGAACCAGCATAAGGTTGGAAATAAGAAATTTTTATGTTCTATAACATTCATGTTTTAAATGATAAAAATCTCACTCCCCACCGCCCTTGCCCCAAGTTTTATTTTCTGTCAAACTGCAGTCCCATTTTAAGTGGGGTTATACTAAATGGCCTGTCACTGAAGCCAATTAGCCTCACAAGAGCCCCTATACTTCTCTTTAGCATTTACCTCGAACACTGAATACCTACAGTGCTGGCCAGAAACAGGTGAATTAGGATGTTCGGTTCCCTCCAGGAATCTAACAGGGGGACAGACAAGTCAGAGAGTAATGAGTGCTCTGGGACATAAAGGGAGTGCTCTAGGAACAGAAGCAGCAGCAGTTCATTTGGAGGGTGGGGGAGCTATTAGGGAAGGCTTCATTAGGAGAGGGCACTGAAGGACGGCTTTGGAAGATTTTATTAATAACGAGGAATGGGAAGAAGGCATTCCAGGTAAGGACACAGCATGAGTAAGGACATGAAGCTGTGCAAAGCATGGACTGACAAGTTCAGGTGATGCAGCTGAACATATGGGGCAAAGAGAGCAGGCAACAATTTAAACTGGGACCCATCGTTGAGAACACAGAACACCACATTTAGATATATGGACTTGGCCTTAATGAGCCCAAGGTTTTGGAGCCCAGAAACCACTGACAAGAAGCAGTATGGAAAAAGGATCGGACAGAAGAGGGCACACAGTGCAGAAAAATAAGTTGATACGCTTTTTAACACATCACACTTGGAAGATGCTTGTAGCCTTAACTGGCATAATAAACTGGCAAACTAGGGGACAGAGATGATTCTAGAGTGTAACCAACAAGACTTTGTAACCGTCCAGGGGAAAGGAGATGGTATTTCCCAGCAAACAGCAAGCTGACCCAGACACTATGCATGGGTGGTGGTGGTGGGACATGCAGCCAGGCAGGGAGGGAAGGGCAGCAATCAGGAAAACGTCACCTAGAACAGGGTCAAAATGACCTAGAGGGGACAGGCAGGTGACAAAAATGAGCGAAGCTGACTACATGAAATATAGGACCATGGGCACTATAGCATGACCCACTGGAAACTACTCAGCTCTAGTTCCTTGATGCCACATGAGAACACAGGCCCCAAATCACCAAACTGTTAATTTTTTTCAAGAGAAGCCAAACCAAAATAATAAAATAAAATAAAAAATCAGATCGAAATCTCCTGATTTTTGCAAATTGTGTACAAACCCATAAACCCTCGCCTAGGGACCAGACCTGACCCTCCAGCCACATGTTTGGGACCTCTGGTCTTGTGTACAATTGAAGAGTCAATGTCCCCTGATGGATTGGCCCTGAGATTGGACTGAAAATAAGGAGGGAAAAGGGTACAAACAAGAAGCAAGCATCTAAAAGCAAATTCAAAAGCCATATGCACACACAGCACAGTGAAGAGAGAGAGGTTTCCAGATGAGGACATTTGCACTCAGAAGCGAGTGCTTCTAGGTGCTGGAGACAAGCAGTGAGCTAAGAGGAGGATAGCAGGACAGCATACCTTTAGTGCCAATCCATAGCTGATCTTGTTCTAGCTTGAAGGTGAGTCTCACTTTTCCTCCAGACTTATTGTACATGCCGGACAAAGGTACCGCTGGCAGGCGCTCCTGGAGGCACAATATATGGTAAGAGATAAAGGAATACTTGGGCAGAAAAAAGAGGAAGGACTGATTCAAAAACAGTTACGGGATGGGTATTTAGCTCAGTGGTTCCAGTGCCTGCCTTGCAAGCACAAGGTCCCGAGGAGTTCAATCCCCGGTACCAAAAAAACAAAAACAAAAAGACACAGTTATAGGAACCTCAGAATGTGGAACTAGTTCCTTTTCAGATGCTCACAAAGAATTCAACTTACCTGGACACCCTTAACAGAAGGCATCACATCTTCAGGTTTTCCTTTATCCAACACTTTCCTGTGTTGCTATAAATCAGAAGAGATCATTAAATGAAGCAGCTACATTTTAGTCATGTTGCTATCTCTCTGAAAGAAAGATAGGATGAAGAAAGCCTTCAGGTTCTGGATCTAAAGCTATTTTAATGCCTCAGAGTACAGGTGGTTGACACTGCAGAGCAGTACTGTCCCACTCAAGTCTGTGAGGCGATGAAATGTGCTTCTTAATGTCAGGGTAGAGACCTTATGCTTGCACTGTGACTGCTCTGCATTGAACTTCTAATCAGCCAGATATAGCTATTCTACTAGATATTAAAGTTCAAGAGCAAGGAGAATTTATGAATTCAAACACTTTACTAATGTAATTCAAACACTTTACTAATTCAAACACTTTACTCTCTTCAAGCCCTCAAATCACCACTGAAAGGATTAAACATCCAGCTAAAGAGAGCTGTGTGGTTCTCCTGGAAGATAGGAAATGACAACCACCATTTGTCAACTTAAACTCCCAAAGAGTTTGGTAGTCATCTAACTGCTTAGGAAGGACATTTCTTTAACAAATGCAGACCCATTCCATCACAGAAGTCTTGCCACTGCTCACCCTCAACCTCAGCCACAGAAAACCTGTGGAGCCACATTTTCAAACAGAATGCTGAGTGTTCTGTACTCTGACATTAAGAAGACTTTGACCCTGTTCCCTTACCCATTCCAAGGACTCTGAGGCAGCTCATTAAAGGTTCCATCATGGCCCCTTAAATAGCTCTCAGCCCTGCTCTAAATGGCTGAGTCTCGTCCTCCCTTCCCCCATCTATGGCTTTCTAGGTTCAGCAATTGCTTAGTAAAGCTGGAACTGTGGGGCAATGAATGGGTGGAAGGTAAAAGTCTAGTCAAACTTAAGCACCAGGAGGCCTGAGCCAGCACAACCCCTCACTGGCTAGGCAGAACCATCTAGGAGGGATGAATGCAACATTGCCAGGCTGCTAACACAAGTGTCACCCTGCACATCAGCCCCAGATTCCTGAACAAGTAGCCAAAAAGCCAAAGGACTGGAGCCTCACGCCTCATAACTGGCATCCCTGGAACAAAGCTGCTGAGGTTGGAAACACAATTTGAGTCAGACCTTTCAAGTGCCTTTTGCACTGTAGAGAAAAGTTCTAAGCCTGTGACACTACCATTAATAACTCAAAACCTGTATTTATGAGGCATGTTGGCTCAGTGCAACCAGTGAGACTACTCACTGATATCTGACGATTTCACACACAGGGGAAAAGGAAAATAGGAATGAACTCAATACATTACAAGATATCATGACCCAGTACCTGGAAGGGAGGGTGAAAGTATCCAAATAAACACCTTGCAGATGTGAATGGACATTTATAATCCCTTCTCTAAAGCTCTGTGGACAGAGGCTGGGGATGAGAGCTCAGTATACAGAATGCGCTCAGCATGTACGAGGCCCTAGGTTTGATTCTCAGCATCAAAATCAAAAACACAACAAAAAACCCCATGGACAAGGGCTGGGAATGCATTTCAGTGCTACAGTGCTTGTCTAGCATGTGTGAGACCCTCAGTTCAAATTTCCCAGCACTACCAGAAAAAAAACAAACTCAAGATCATTGTTTTAGACTTAAGCATCTCAGGGGCTGTGTAAAAACAATATAGCTTTAAAATATGTATTACATAAACCAGGCGTGGAAGCACATGCCTGTAATCCTAGCACTCCAGGAGGCTGAGGCAGAAGAACTGCAAATTCCACCTCATCCTAAGCAATTTAGCAACTCAGTAAAACCTCATCTCAAAATAAAAAATACAGAGCTAGGGATGCAGCTCAGCAGCAAGGCCCTGAGTTCAAGGTTCAATGCCCAGTACCACCCC